CAAGACACCAAACAGAGATATCATACTCCAATTGAATACTTTTTGAACGATTTCCAAACCATGTAGCAAACCATGTTAAAAGACTAATACCAATTCCAGATGAAGATATTACGAGTCTATAAACAGGATCTTTGAATGCATAGGACGCAATACCCATCATTGATAATAAATGCAAGAATCCACGATATTTGAAACCAATTTTGCGATGGGAATGGGTTTGTTAATGTCTACTAATGCGAAATTATCAACAAGTTTTCTAATGTATATAGTTGGATGCTTTAGCTGTGTAATGGTTTACTTTGTTCCTTCTTGGATTGGATATTACGCTGGTCTGGTTCTTGGTGCATATTTTATGGCTATTGCTCCATATTTAATTAGGTCTGCAATAATTCACAACCCTGGTCGAACTTTGTTTACTGCCATGATGGTTTATAATATTTTTTGTCTTGCACATGTATGGGTCGTTGCTTACGAGTTTGTTCCTGGGGGACCATTAGCTCGTGAACGCACAAATTGGATTTTAATATTTATGATGACATTCATTGGCTCAGGTGTTCTTAATGCTGCTAGTGTTGTTGAAAAATTTAAAACTACACAACTTCAAAAAATTAGATCTATTAGAAATTATACTCGTATAGCTGTTTTTGTAATTATTTTTCTTGGAATTTTTGTCGCATTCGTTAGATTTACATCTGCGAAAACGCCAGTTCCGCATAGACCAGAGCATAAAATGTTTACGGCCGGTATTTGGACAATTCATTTCACTCTTGATAATGATATGTGGTCTTCAGAAGTACGTATTAGAGACGCCATAAGGGATTTAGAATTTGATGTTATCGGTATGTTTTTAATGTTTTTTAAATGTTTTAAAATGTTTTTAAATGTTATAGAAATTTTCATCATCATCATCATAATCATCATTATCATAATTATTATTAATATTATTGATACAACATTCTCATTAATTTTTTATTCGGTGTTTCAGGCCTATTGGAATCTGATACTCAGCGCATTATCATGGGTAACAGAGATTTGTGGCAATATATTTCTGAAGACTTAGGTTATTACGTAGATTAC